AGTGTATATACCATCATCATGCTACAGAGATTTTCCTGTGGTGTCATTACAGAAACAATTCAATAAATAAAACTGATGTCAGCTAATGATGAAATCCTCCATCCGATCAAACACAAAATCCCTACAAAACCAATACCTGAGAACTAATCTGATGCTCACTAGTGACTAGCCCTGTTCAGGCAATTAACCTGGGGTTCTAGTGAGGAGCTGTGACCAATATGGTATAGCAGTTGAATATGAGGCAGTAACTCATCGAAGAAGATATTGTGAAATGGTCGCACTATGTCGTGCGTGAACAGGCGGAAGTTAGAATTCATGGGCTGGCCATTGGATCGGGTCCCAGTAGCTCAACGGACTACGAGCTTGCCTTGTTACCAGAAGGCCCTGGGTTCGAACCCCGGTCGGTGCGTACTGCTGAATAGTCCCAATGGTACTCTAACTGATGTTGGCTCATTTTGAAATCCTTCATGCAATCAAATATCACTGATTTGAGTAACTTTTATCTCTGTGAACTATTTCTTCTAAGTATGGAATGAATTCCTATGTAGCAATATGCAAATAAATCATATTGAACCATATGTACACATGACCTTATTTTATAATATTATTTCTTTTATTCCGTCTTCCCTTAATCGATAGTTTCTGTTTTCCCCTAATATTGAACAATTTCATTTTTTTATGTGGTAAACTGTTAAAGGTTTGTAAAACTTTTCCCTAAGGTCATGAACTTCGTGTTGGGTAAATGAAATTATAAAGACTGTTTAATCAATAGATTCTTAAATCCCTTAAAAAGGATTTCATATCAAACATTTCTTGTCTACATTAATACGTGACTTATTGGATGATGAGTTGGTTTTTTGTTAATGTATACCACTTTACTGAGCGGTGAAATCAGACTTCCGGAAGTCGCCTGATTTAAGAACGCAAAGTCAGCATGAACATTAGTCACCCTTATTTATTTAGCATGCCTTAATGTAGCCAAATAAACTAAAATAGCTAAATTAATTATTATTATTATTACGAGTGAATTTTATGATGCGTTGTTAGTTTCATGCATATACTGCTCTCCAAACACGCACATGGTCAAGTGTTCGATTTCCAGCGGACATACCTCTACACTCCGCCTGGTCTACAAGACGACAGTAATCTATGTGATGAAAATAAAAGTTTGGTTGTGAGGCCAGTAAACCTACCATTTCTACTCAAAACGTAACAGCTCAAACTTATGGCCTTAAATAGCAGTTATTGAAAAAAACAGAAACTACCCACTAGAAATCTTCTAAAATAAGATAAATTAAAAGCGATCCAAAGCCCAACAGTTTCATAATATAAAGAAGGTACGCCAGAGTCTCTTCAGAGAACCCTTATTAAGGATAGAATTAGGATGGTGCTTAAACTGACGAATTCACTGAAAGATAGACTTTACTTCACGTTCCCCAGTGGAACATAGCTCCTCAAGCTAGTGACTTGAAATTTCTGTAGCAGTGTCAATTTTTACAGGATTTGTTTGTTAGCCTAATGCCAACCTTTCCTCTTTACCAGTCTTATCACTGGCTTAATGAGGTAAAGGAGAGCGTCTGTGGCCGGTGATCGAACCCCGGACCATGTGCATGGTTGGCAAGCGTCCTAACCGCTATGCCGTCGACGCTCTGTTACAACTAAGAATAGTTAAAATATAGTCGCCTTTAAAATATCCTTTCAAATCATAGTTTTAGTGTAATGGTAGAATGAATTATTCTGAGTCATTTCTAATGACCACTACTCGTCTGAGTGTGTCAAAATGCTGATAACTTAGTAGCCACTGAATAGCACTGCTCATCGAGAAAAATGAAAGGATTAGCATGACATAAAAGTGTTCTAGGTATCTTAATAGATGATGCTGCAAAGCAGCATTACTGAAATAATACTAAATTCCATTCGTTAGACCAATTCATTTTTAGTATCTTAGCCATTTATAGTCTATTTTTAAGGTTTCAATATGCAAATTATAACTAATATATATTATATAGCCTGTTGTCCTTACTATTTTTATCAGTTTTACTGCGAAAATTCTTTGTTTCATTCACCAGCTGCTGACTGTATTATTTTCTCCAGATATATGTGCACTAAGCTCCAGTCATGATTTTCCTAAGAAAACACATTGGGGAACCCTTCTCTTCACTGAGTTCCAGGCGAAAATCGATTACTCAGAATTGTTTTTTTCAACTATTAGTATTTTGCTTCATTGATTGGAAGATTTCGTCATGGGCTAACATCAGTTAGAGAATCATTGGAAAACCAAGCAGTATTGGACAGGTGTTTTGTCCTTGTTTGGGACTCTTCAAAAGTACGCATCCCCCATTTTGGGGTTCGAACCTATTACCTTTCTGGCTACAAGTCGGAAACAGTTTCGTCTTTTCACCTTGTAACCAGAAGGCCATGGTTTCGAACATCGATGTGGGGACGCGTACTTCTGAGGAGTAACAAACTGGGAAGAAACAATTGTACAGTATTCCCTTGTTCACTCAGAATTATTCAAACTAGTCGTTTATGCAGGAAATGCTTAAAAATAAATAGGAATAGTGAAGTTAACGATTTTATCCACATTAAGGCTAACTACATTACTACTAATGCTATGATTGATTGACTTTTAAGCATTCTTTTTATAGGATAAAATCATTAAAGGGATAATTCTCTTTAGCTCTAAGGTCACATTTATCAGAAGGTTTGTTTGAGAATTCTAAAATCTTTACTACTTATAAATAAAAAAGAGATCACATTATCACTATTAAAATATCGATCAAGTATGATTTACAATGGTAATTCTAATTATCTTTTGTGCATCTTTAATGCATTGGTAGAATGCTCGTCAGCCACATCGGAGGTCTAGATTCGATTTCTTTGAATTCTAAAGCACGCCAACAAAAGAGGAAAGATTTAGAGTGAGTCTAACAGATCTATCCAGTTATAAAGAACACTTCTTCCACCTAAATTTCGGAACTCATAGCTTGAGTCATATATTTCATTCGGAAAGCAAAAGGTAAAAATAAATAGAGTTATTTACCCTCACCATATTGATGTTTGACGAGACTTTACCAATGAACCACCCATTATTGTTACCATTAGTGCTACGTGATTAAAAAACTCAAGGGATAAATGCTCGATGCCAGTCACATAAGTTCATTTTGAAGTGGCTTTGGGAGTTACGTCCATAAAAAGATTTTACCGTCTGTTTTAACAATGAAAACGGATTCTCATATGCATAGAGTTCCACAGACAGATGATTGTAGTAACTACCTATGAACCTACCTAGTTCAGACTTTTTCAAGTAAGTTCTTAACCCTAATCAGTGAGGACATGGGAGAAAGAGTGCACAATTCAAAACTATACCTTATCTTTGAATAGCCAGGAACAGGAGGAGTTTTCTGTAGAAAACAAATGAGGCTGTGAAATTCGCCTTCTTAGACAAAACAATTTAAACTGTTCATAGTCAGTCATAATGTGGCGAATCAGACTCATCAATTTACAGACACAAAGATGTGGACCACACACTAGTACGTCGTCGCATAACAGGTTGTGTTCATGACTTATGACAGTGCCGTGTCTACAAGCTAGTTAACGTTGACAAAATAAGCAGCAGGTCATCCAGTGCGTAAATATGAATGTTCTCATATGCCATAAAGCACTGAGGTTATCATATGGTGGTTATATTTTCTTCAAAGAGTACGAGACTCTATGGACTCATCTCCACTCATCCGGTAAACTACATTATTCAATGAGGATATGAGTATTCCGTAGTGAAAATTATTGATCTTTATGTTTAAATATCATGAATCCTGATGGGAACCGCATAAAACTGATAATGACTCACTGGAGTATGGCATTTTGCCGTTATACGAAATCCCTCTGATGCTGATTTCAACTGTGTACGGGAGAATTACGATAATAGGAATGAATGAATCTTCATCTCTTTGATCTTTACTTCAAGCACCCACCTTTTGTCCATCTTCATTTATGCTTTTCCCTGTACAGTTGGTTACCACTGTTCCAAAAGTCTGATACGGTATATCATTGTAGCGTGGTTTTCATTTCTGTTGACGTAGTCGTGTTGGAATTTGTAAGTTCCTCTCATTGAAAGCATAACTCTGTCTATCTGTCTGTTTTCGACATAGAACTTTCCACCGATGTGCACCAGTTCAAGTCGCCACACTTCCTCCTTGTAGCACACAAAACAACAGAAGAAAGTAGAAGAAATGTGTAATAGAGACAGTTAACAGAGGTGTGAAACAAAGGAATAGTTATAACGAAGAACAATATAGTTTCATTGGGAATTATATGTCACAAGGAGTGGATGAATCTGCACCACCATTGAGAACGATTTTGAGCCATATCCAACCATTGATTTTTACCGTCCCGAAGACCCCAACCAGACAGATGTCTACAACTCCCAGCGTGGCTTAAGCTAAATGTTGTGGATTTCATTGACTGGTGCCATATCTTAGTTTGACCGCCGCTAGCTCTTTTCCAGTCTGACCTTATGTCAGCTAACATTTCCCATTGTCGAAGAAGAAAATGACAAGGCGTACGTAACACATGTCCTAACCATCACAGTAGATGTAATTTCACAGCCTCGTCGATTGATTTCCCCCCCTCCACCTACCTAGCACTCGACCAATGCCTAACCTCAATATCGCTCACATTATTATACCACTCTAGGCAAGATAATGTTATTGTCGACTCAAACTTTGATATTTTGTTGTATTTCTTGCATCCAGAGTGAAAAAATGGGGCTTTCTATAGAGTAGGTTTTCCAGCCTCACACTTAGCGTTCTTCTATTTCACGATCTTACTACCGGCTAAAAGGGATTCTTTAAGACGTCGATAGTTGGGATTTGATCTCCAGAACACATGTGTGGAATCACCAGTCTCTTTATATGATGTTAGCCATGTGATGTCGTTATATGTTTTATCCCTTACTGACCACCAAATTTCCTCTTTTTTGTATTTCTCACCCTTTTCAGAATATGAAGAACTATTCGGAGTCTCATATTATGGATCATCGAAACACGAAATATCATCAAATTCACCCTATAGACGTTCAAAATTTGAAATATTCTGTGGAGATACCTACCTAGATTTTAATTACAATACAAAAAATCATAATACTAGCGAAAATCATGACACCAATGGAACATATAAACGTTTAAATAATACTAACACAGAACCCCATTATACATGGAGTCTTACCTTTTCACAACCAGCATCACATTATTATGAATTTAGACAAAAATTAGAACGGAACTCAATTTCACTGGAGAGTATCAGTGTCATTCAGTCGACAGATAAACCAAAGACAAGTTTTATTAAACTTTCAGGTACTATAAAAGTGAAAAATATCTCTTTGAAAAATCTGTTTATTTACGATTAACTAAAAATAATTGGAAATCATTTACTGACTATCATGCAGTGTATAGTGCTCAGTTATCCTCTGGTACATGGTCTGGACAACGACGATACGATACATTCGTCTTTAATATTATTATCCAATCAGATCAAGAGTATTTTCATCCAGATGAGAAAATTGAATTCGCCATCTGTTTTACTACTGTAAATAATGATGACAAAACAGAATATTGGGATAATTATGATGGAAAAAATTATGTGATTGAACAGAGAAAATTTCATCCTTTATTGATTGGTACAGAATCGTTAACACACAGTCGACTGAAATATCCTCACCATCATCGGATTCATCTATGTCACCTGTCAATGAAATTCCACTGAATAATAATAATAAGTCAATCAACAATACATTGGACAGGCATAATATTACGTCAGCTATTACTAAACCTACTATTACTACTACTAATACGTCTGCTGGTACTTCCACTACTGCTAATACTACAAGCTTTAATACCTCTTCGTATACGCTGGACTGTCGGCCTAATTTCGATAGTTTCACTTCATTCACGGATTATCGAGCCTGGAGTCATTACTCGGGAGAAACAAGTTATTATTGATATTTTCGCATTGGATTTTTTTCTATACATTCACTGTGTACATATACAACTGATGTACTTGATAAATATCAGGAAGATTTGGGCGCGTGTCTTAGACATCTTAAAAGCATAATGGCCTTATCGTTTTAATTCTGAAGAGAAATATCACTACTACTACTACTACTAATCACAATATAAGTAATAAGGTGTAGAAGTTAAATTAAGAATGTAGATATATATGTATGTATACTTGGTTGTCAAGATGGGTTGCTGATATTTGTACATAGTTTATAATGCCATTCAACCTTGTTTCATTTTGAGAACCAAACATACTCTTAAGTTCTTTAATGGTTGAGTCCTCTTCGTATACTTATTACTTATATATTCTGTGATTAGTAATATACTAACTATCTCAAGAATGATTGATTATAAAGCATGCTATTTTTATCATTTTGACAGTTTGTTTTCATTTTATGAAAGTAGAACAGCCAAAATGGGATATTTTACTGTTTTCCTGATTGTCCATATGTCATAAAAGTATTACAAATGCGTACTTTCTAATCGACTTGCCATCCACTATATATAATTAATACTCATCAATTCTAGTGGGAAAATATTGTCATCGGTAATAATTCCTGTGCAACAGTGAACATCCTAATGATAATAATAATAATAATGACAACATTAACAGTGAACCGCATAAATAGAATTTCTTATTTTTCAAATTTCTTAGTATATTTGATGATGATGGAATAATGGCCTTTTACTGTTTTTTTTTCTCGTCTTTTTTTTGAGTTTTGTAATTTATCTCACAACTTCAATCACTGTCAATGAATTTTAATAATCAAAATTTAATTAATGAATTAATGACAATTTTTAACAATTTTGGTTTCCCCATTCTTCATTTTTCCCATTGGTTTTCCTACTCTCTCTTATTTATTTATTTATTTATTTAATTATTTATTGATATGCTCACTAGATTTATATTTTCAGTTTTCAATTTTGAACTCATCTGAAGTCATCCTGTTATTGTGTTTTTGCATTTCGTTGACTTCTCCTTCCTCTTCTTGTACTTCCCGCTCTTTTTGTCTTCATCTTCTTCATAATTGAAACGCACAAATCAATTTTCCTTATTTGTTTTTGTTATAGTAAGATAAAGGAGAAGAAATTTTTAGTTATCCATGGAAATTGTTCGTCTTCTATATGTTGGTAGTCAATACGACCTAACGGGTTTACGAGTCTGTCGAACTAACTAATGAACGTTTCTATCCTAATAGATTTAGCGGCCAACAGCAGCTGTTACGATACGCATACTAACAACATGTGAGCTTTTTGCTGTTACGAATTAACAGCGAAAAGCTTGAGATATATATATATATATATTGTATATTAACTCCGTCGATAAGTTAAAACAATTAACACACATAAGTTTTCAACCATCATCTGGCGTGGAATACAAACATCTAGGTAGTATTTTAATGCTTTCGAAAAAAATAAGGCATTTATAACACTTTTTTGGCTGTTTATTCCAATATATAGACTTTTAAGCGTCTATGGAATGTATCGACAAACAGTAGCACTATGACGTATCTTCACGGAAAGTTGTCAGTGGGTGCTAAAGTGCAACTGTATGTGTGTTGTAGGCATATCTAGAAACAGAATTAAATTGGTGGATGATGGAGGAACTCGTCAACTAGCTGGATGTACCTGCATTCCCCAGTGAGCCAATTATGATGTTCCCACTGAGCTTTAAACGCAGTGACCATAGTTTCAAACGCCAAAGTGTTATCCACTAGACCACTTCCTCTTGTCCAACGGGTCATAATAATTACTTAATTAAATTTTAGATTTTTTCCATCAATTGATTGGACTGAAGTACTCGGTCTCAGACTGACATGTCTGTCGGCTTCTTGTGCAGATGCTTCGACGATGTCTGGGCATGTAATTAGAATTTAATCAGTGGATGGTTAAATTTTACTCTAAGTTCATTATTAAGGTGACAAAAACTAAGAAGATATAATTGTCCGTAGAATTGTTCTTTGATAACATTCCGGTTAATGGAAAAAAAGAACAGGACAGTGAAAGTTTCGCAACGAAAGTCTATAGCGAATATAATAACATAAATAAACACATCCTCTTGAGCTACAAATTTTCTTCATGTCCCAGAGTAGCTTTCAGGAGATCATATGAAAAAGAGATAAAATCGTATGGGGCGCGTTTTGAACCAGCTAAAACAGGATGAAATAGATATGTACTACTGAAACTGTAAATTTCAGTTGAAACCCAAAGGAATTAAAATGATAGTTCTCGAAAAAGCTCAAAATGAAGAAGTGATATGCAGTGATGTTTTTAACCAAATATATCCTGAAGCAATATCTTGAATGACGAGCATATCATATGATGACAAAACTAATCCTTACAAACCAAACTATAGAAAATTAATCTAATGCTCGCTAGTGACTTGCTACAGGGTAGAGTTTCCTGGAGTTTTAGTGAGAAGTCATGACTAGTGAGGTTCATCCAGTCATGTGTGAGGATGGAAGTCTCACCTACGACAATGGTTGGGCTTCACTAAATCACGAATTAGGAGAAGTTAGAATTCATGCACTGGCCACTGAATCCGGTCTCACTGGCTGAATGGTATACGAGCCAGCTTGCCTTGTAACCGGAAGTTCCTGGGTTCGAACCGTGGTGATGGGTGCATACTTCCGATGATTCCCAAATTAGGATGAAACAGCTGTCCAGTACTCCCTGGTTGTTCTCAGTTCTCTAACTGATATCAATCCGGGATCAACTCGTAGAAATTATCTATTATACTTGAATTTGATTTCTAAAAGGAAACGTGAACATTGCAAGACTAATGCTTTTAGGTTTGATTGCACCAATGAAAGTTTTCATAAGCACACTACCGAATAATTTCAAGTCATAACAAAGTAGTGGTATAATTCATCTTTGACTAATGTCTACTCCCAACGAGTTATATCTTGAAATATGGAGTTTCGGCTGAATGCAAGCCTAAAATAGAACATCTCAACATGTTATACTGCTAACTGATTCACATGAACAGTCGAACACTGCTTAAATCACCCAGTAGGGCTTGCTGGGTAGCCAGATCAAAATGATCTAAACGCCTGACGGTCGTATTGCCCGCTTTTGGGCTGGTTTCATCCGCGGTAAAACCGGTTTTCACTCGTCACTCAGACAGTTGACTCAGACTAACGAATTCCGCCTGGCTAGCTACTCAGTGAACTGATACTATACTGGATCAAATTGCGATTAACATACTTTGAGGTGGAATTTCAACACAGTTTCTTTTGAAAATCGAAATCATTCAGATCACAATATATAATCTGCAAGCGGTTTTAGATAATTCAGTACTGTGGGCCTAGTTGAATATTCTTCACGAATAACTCTGAATCGTACTTTTCTAGGAAAACCTACCGTATAGTTTATCTAACTAATGGTCATACATAATGTTCAAATAATAATAAAGACCTCTATAAAACTCTTATTTATAAATGAAGAACTGCTGATATATGACCTTATATATGTACTGAAGTTCATGTAAATACTCAAATAAGTATTCAAACATTAAAAAAACATAAATATTCATCAATGTATTTCAAAAAACAATCAAACTGTACACATAAAATAAATAAAACTTTAATGGATAAGGAATATATACAAATGATGAAATAAACGCATATAATGAATGAAATGGTGGTATGGGGTTCAAGTTTCGACCTACGGCCACGGACGCACTCCTTTACCTCGCCAAGACGCTAATAAGACTGTTGAGTAGGGTTGGAAGGTTGGATCTGCAACTAGCAACCTCATCCCAAAACTTCAAAGCTCTGTGTTCCACTGGGGACGTAAAGGAATAAAATGTAATTAAAAGAAATCCGCGACCCAGATGCTGGAATATCGCATGGCTAGATACAAACGCTAGAACCTAACACAAGAAATTAATCTGGCCATCATATTTCATTCTAAACACGTATAAAGTTAGTTAGTGTAATATACACAAACATAGGCATTTTGACATATAGATTAGTTACTGGATTTCATCATGAGCTGACATTGATTAGAGAACGACTGGAAAACCTGACAGTACTGTACAGCTGTTTCGTCCTAGTTTGCGACTCTTCATCAGTACGAACCCACCGCCAGGGTTCGACACCAAGACCTCCTGGTTACAAGGTGAGCCCATAGACCATTAAGCCTCTGTGACCCGATCCAATGGCCCATGAATTTCAACTTCTCCCAATTCACGATATCTCACGAACAGCCGGATGCGTACTGCTGAAAAGTCCCAAACTAGGACGAAACAACTGTGATTACTCCAGGTTTTCCAACGGTCCTCTAACCAATGTCAGCTCATGATGAAATCCAGTAATCAATCAACCAAATCCCTACAAACCAATATTTAAAAACAAATTATTATATCCTTTAGTCCCTAGAGGAACATAGGGCTTCAGCTGCGCACCTCCATTACCTTCTGTTTTCTGCAAAGTTTTTCACTTTGCTCCAAATCTGCCCACATGCTTTCATCTCTTCTTCACATGACCACCTCCAAGTGACTCTCTCATTGACAACCAACTCGCCACTTCCCACTCGGGTTCCACTCGAGGGCTCGCCTAGTGATGTCACTTGATGGTTTCCTCAGAGCATGGTCAATCCGTCTCCATTTCCTCCTGCATATTTGTTTCACAGTCGGTTCCTGCTGGGTTGGTTCGCTCCCACAGATCTCTGTTGTTAATCTTTTCTGGCCTGTCATCTGATCTTGAGTACTGAGAGAAGACAGCTGTTAATGAAGGTCTGTAGTTTGTTTGAGATGCTCTTTATGACTTGCCAAGTTTCTGATCCGTATAGTAGCACTGACTGGCTTCACATTGGAGTTGAAAATCCGGATCTTATCTTCATTTTCATGCTGAGTGCTGTTGACCTCCACACAGACTTGAGAGTAATGGAAGCTTGTCTTCCTTTTCCGATCCTTGCTTTGATATCCTCGTCAGTTCCGTCAGCCTGTAGTTGAAACGATGCTTCTCGGGTAGGTAGGTAAAGGAGGTTGTTTCTTTCAAGTTCCTCCCATTTATACTGGCTGATTGTTGTCTGTTGTTGCCACTGTCGCTGCTGGCCAGGAATCTTCATCACCTACCTCAGTTTTCTCTATGTTCACTTGAAGTCCTATTTTCTTTGGTTGCTTCTTCTGCCAACTTGTTGCTTTTCACTTGCATATCTTCCAGTCTGTGGGAAATCAGACATATATCATCGGCGAAGTCCAGATCCTCCAAGTTTTTTTGTGAGTCTATTTTATGCCTGTTTCCTCGTTGCCTGTCGTTGTCCATTATCCAATCAATTGCAATCAGGAAAATCATTGGTGATAGTAGGCAGACTTGTCGCACACTCGTCCTCACTTCGATGGATTCCATAAGTTTCCGTTGTGGATTACTTGGCATGCATCATTGTCGTACAGCTGTTGGATGAGATGTATAATTGTCGATGGGACCCCGTAGTAGCGAAGTAGTTGCCAAATCACCTCTCGATCGACGCTGTCGAAGGCCTTTTCAAAGTCGATGAAGTTGAGAGAGAGAGGTGATTGCCATTCCAAGCTTTGTTCAATGATGATCCGTAGAGTGGCGATTTGATCAATACATGATTTGTTTCTCCTGAATCCAGCCTGTTACAGTCGAAGTTTTTCATCTAGGGCTTGTTTGATTCTCTCCAGAATGATGCGGCTTAATATTTTGCTTGGAATAGACAGGAGCATAATTCCGCGCCATTTCTTAAATTGACTTACGTCTCCTTTCTTTAGCAGTTTGAATAAGTAGCCTTTCTGCCAATCCTCGAGTATTTTGCCCTCTTTCCACACCTTTTCCAGCAATGGCGTCATCAAGTCTGCTGTTGTCTCTCGGTGCATTTCAATGCTTCTGCTGGAATTCCATCTGGTCCTGCTGCTTTTTCAGCTTTTAACATCTTGATTGCCTTCAGGACTTCTGTTCTCGTCGGTGAGCTGATGTTCACTGGTAGTTCTGCTTCCGTTGTTGGTATTGTTAGACGCGTTGTAGGTAGCGGTCGATTCAGCAGTCTTTTGAAGTGTTCAGCCCAGTGTTTTCTTTGTTCCACCTCTTTGGTGATTGACTTTCCATTGTCATCCTTTAGTGGCTTAATCTGTGTCGAACTTTTGCCCGAAAGGTGCCTGGTTGTTTGGTAGAGTGTGGCGAGGTCTCCTTTGCCTGCGGCTTGTTCTGCTTCACTTGCCATGGTTTCATAATATTTTCTTTTGTCTTCCCTGGCACTCTTCTTCACTCTTTTGTTCAGTGTATGGTAGCTTGAATTCAACTCCTGTTTTTGTTGCTCGTCAGTGCACTGGATAATCTTTTGTTTCACTATCCTTCTCTCTTCTATTAGTTTACAAGTGTCCATAGTGAGCCACTGTTTGTCCTGTCTCTTCTTTCTGCCTAGAACTTCCATGCAGGTTTGACTCCACACCGTTTTCAAGTTGTCCCAGTGCTTTTCGACGCCGACCTCTTTGCTAATGTTGATTTGTGTCTTGGCTTTGTCCCTTATGCTTGCAATGAAG